GGTCTTGGGGCGGCTAAAAAGCCAGAGCCGGCCCTGGCTCTAGGAATTATTTTGGAGAAGTTCTGTGGCCTGTCAGACTAGATGATCACAATGGTCCCTCTGGCCATGGAATCTATGAAAAGCCATGAAATGAAGCATGATTTATTACCCACAACTATGCGCCTCAGTCTGAAGATGGCTTTATTATTTTTCCCCTTTAGAACATACAACAGGCCTACAAGTAACTGGAGATGTAGGGATTTTTTAGAGCAGTGTTTCTCAAACTGGGGTCCATGAACCTCTGGGGGTCCGTGAGGACACTCCAGGGGGTCCACAGGCTCCACTGATCAACTCCTCCCCATCCCTCCCAACACCTGCTGCATGATGGGGAGCAACAGCTGACTTAAGATTTTGCTGCCAGAAAAACAGAGAGAGACTGATTGGCAAAGTAGCATCTATAGTCTATCATTATTATTAGTTTCCATGTTTGGCTGAATTAATTCCCGTGAATGTTGGATGGACAGAAAACTAAACAGCACTCAGGACACTATGAAGAAGTGCTGCTAGAACCCTCTGTGCTAAACTGCCATCAGTATAGACCTTCTACTCCTGGTGCTCTGATGAGTTTGCCAGTCCTGTTAGTTTGTGTTGTGGTTTTTGTGAGAAGGACAAGTGTTCACTAGGAACCAGAAGAGCCCAAACTTTTTTTTTCTTCCTGGAGCCAAGCAGGATTCTGATCATCCATATGCTGACAAGCTATGGATCTGTAGCAAAGCCTTGAGTAGTCCGGTAGTAAAAATTACATTTTCCTTCAGCTTTGTATCACTTTGATGTTGTTTACTCGCTGCCTTTTTGCTCCAGTACATGGTGTATGAGACTCATGACATATCTATTTGGGAGAAATATGCACCTAGACTAGAGGAGTATTACAGATGTGCATGGAATAGATTTCACTCTCAGTAGTGTCTTCTGTATCATAAAAGTTTAACGATAACATTGTTTACTTGGGTAAGTGGGATCATGCACAGCCTGTTAATTACAGCCACATTTTATAAGTACATAAATCCAATGTCAATTGAAGGAGAATGGGCTGGTGGGGACATTTGTGCCCCTAGTTAGTGGAATTCACCACATGCATTGGATATTGTTAAGCCATCCCTGCCAAGGTCTACTCTTGTACCTGTCTGTTATCTTCTTCCCAAGGGGAGAATTGTGTGTGCAGGGCAGTGCTTTGGCTTGGAAGGGTTTTCTTTTATACACGCATGCTGCTCTGTGTTTGTATTGGAGAAGGCAGGTTAGAGAAATGCACTTAGAGTGGAATGTGGGGAGGTTCATGATGGTCCTTAGTTCCTGCGGGAGTTTGTTCCATAGTCTTGGACCAGCTCCTCAGAAAGTCTGTTTCCCACACAGATGAGCTTTACCCTTATGGCAGATTTCATTGTGGCCAAGAAGCCAAGTTGTTGACCACACTCCATCTCAGAACTTTAGGCTGTTTTTTAATATGCTGAGCCCTGGCCATCCAACATCTTGATGGTAAAGAACAAGATCTTGAGCTTGACTCAATCATATTCTCTCTTTAAGACCCCCCCCCCCAACTCCTCTCACCCTTCAGCACATGCTTAGACTTACTGGCAAACTGTTTATCCCCACCACTGTAAATCACTCCCTCTGAACACTGACCCCCTTCTTTGCCCTGACTGATCCATGAAGCAAGCTACTGAGGGAGAGCCACAGCTCTCTAAAGTTCTTCACGCGCTGACTGACTTTCAGTTATGCCAAAGAAGAGAGTCTGCTCCCTGGTTGCTAGGAGATTGGAGAGGAGGAGGAGGAAGCAGCAACTCACCCAAGAAACTGCTCGATGTTGGATACTGGGGGAATAGTTGGGAGGAGAGAAACTCAGGACCAAATTGCAATGCTTACCCAAACTGAATAGTAGCTTGTGCCATAAATAGTCCATTGACTTCCACAGGACTACTCTTGGTAGACAGCAGTATTCAGCCTAAGGGGATCAGAATCTAGCCCTCAGTGAGTTAGACTGATTTAGAAAAGGGAGCAGCTGTGAAAAGCTACCACCAGCTGATTAGGGAAGCAGTACTTCACCCTCTGACTAGGAGATATCTTCCAAAGCTCAGACACACCCTCCCCTGCATCTATAAGCCCACAGTGATGCAGGCCCATTTCTCTCCTGGGTCTGACCCAGACTTTAGCTTGCTATTGCTGATTGTCCATCTTTCTTCAATGTCAACACAAGCAGGAAGGGATTGCTAGATTTTTTAAATGATTTTGTAAGAGTATATTTTTATATACTTAGAGCCTGTAAGATGTTCCCAAACTGCATCTAGTGTGAAGCAGGTCATGCCAGTACGTTAGCACCCAAAGAGATCAAACGCATTCCTTTGGAAACTGGGTGGATATTTGCCTCGTTTAATCATTTCAACAGCTCACCCCACCATATCAAAAATGGAGCAATCAAAACAGCTGGAGGAAGCATGTTAATGGTTTTCACTCCTTGATGTTACTACTTCAATTTTGCTGCCTAGCACAATCGGGAGGCTTTAAGATTTTGCATTTTTCTTACTGTAGTTCTACGTTGGCACTGACCACTCTCTTCTGCTCCAGATCTCCTTTCTCAAGGTGCCACTGAATTGTACAGACCCACAGAGACACACTTTACTGTCCAATGTGGAACCTAGGCTAGGAACAGTGGGGAAAACATTCCCTTCTCCCTCTCTGAGTCCCAAAGTGGTCACCTGGACCCAGCTCCTCAAAGGCATTTAGGCACCTAACTCCCACTGAAAAAATCAAACTCCCTCTCTGAAATACCCCAGAAGGGAGAGGGACTAGGATTCTCAGCCCTCAGAAGAGATCTGTGGCCTTTGTGCACAGAAGGGAAGGAATGGCAGAGAGGGGAGAGTCTGGGGAAGGGGATAGTCTTTCAAGGTCTAGAACCCATATTTGCAACCAAACTCACAAAAAATGGCTCACTACCATCCTCTATAAACAAATTCTGCAGGGTGTAAACATGAGGTGCACATAAAAACAAATCCTTCGGGGAATTGCCCGTTCCTAGTTGTTTCTAACCTGCCAAGGACTATTAACAGGTGAAAAATCTTGTCTTTCAAAACTACCAACTTCAACATGACCTGGCTCCTGGTGACACTGCTATTGCTGCCAGACCAGTGATCTGTAATCTACTGCAAGACAAAAATCTCACACTAGTAAAGACCGTCTAAATCAGAGGTGCAAAATAGAAGATCTCCAGAAGATACTCTTGCACATTCTAAAAAACACAAGCAGCCAATCCCATTGCATAGATCACGTCGTTAAGTAATTGCTGAACCTCATGAAGCCACATCATCATCATCAGCGAAAGAGTAAGGAGATTTGTTTTCCCCCTTTTCAATCCTGCTTATTTTCTTCAGCACAAAAGTTCCTGCAGAGATTTTTCCAAAAGCAGAATGTGCAGTTGAACACACAGCTTTTTTTTTTAAGCCATCACCACACAACAACTGGCTAACAACAAAGATCTTTCCACAGATATACCCCAAATCAGTCAACCCTAGTACATCAAGGCATCCCACCAGTGAGTAAAGTCACTCCATCATCATGATAAACAGTGAGTAAAAGCCAAGTTTCTCTTACTTGGAAATGAAACAGTAAATCCTGGGCAAGATTATGCACTGGAATGATTTAACTCTCTGAATGAGCCACTACATTCATTGTTAACTCCATAGTTCAGGCAGAGAATCCCACATCTGTATTTACAATAGTGAGTATGTATTTCAGTGCTTGTCTATGCAGGGACGCTCTGGAAAGTTAGTGTGATTTAACAAAAGGTGTGTATTTAAAGTGGATTAGTTAAACTGCATTAAACCCCTGTGTGGATACTCATTCAGACCTAAAGTGGCCTAATTCAATTTAGCTTAATTCACTTCCAATTTCACAGTACTCACATTGAAAAAAGTTAAATCCTTGTGGGATTGGGGATTTAAGCATATGTTTAGAGTGCTTTGCTGAAGTAGGAGCAACACAGGAAGAAAAGAAATACAAAGTATGTGCAATGTGGGTGAATTAAAGTTGCTATGAAAACCTAACTTTTACTTTTTGACTTCTGAGAATTCAGGAAAAAAATCCAGAACTACTAAATTTGAGGATTAACTTTAATGCATTGGATAAAAAAAAACCTCAAAACATTTTGGGATATTTTGGTCTGGATCCCAACTTTGCAGCTCAGGTTGATCTCTAATTGTATCACAAAGGTGTTCCAGCCCCTTCCAGTACTGTTAAAAATCATCATCAGGATCATTCAGTTTGTGAAACACTTCAACCTTTAGATTAGATAGCCATCCAAATCCTGTTGCAGTACAACTGAGAGTCTACTGGAACGGAAAGCCTATGAAAATAGATCATGTTTAAAAGCAGACATGAGCAATGGCACACTTTTTTTGGTCAGAGAGTATATTTGGTTTCAATATTCTGATGCACTAGCCCCATAGAAAATATTGCAATAGACACGAAAACTCTTGTAGCATTCTCTGCCAAGAAACTAGGAAAGATGATCTAGTACAACTTATTTGGCAACATAAATAAGTGGTAAGCACTATTTCATGAAAAGCTAATTGAGAAACCTCGAGTTCCAAGGGCAGCAAAATCCAGCTTTCAGTTTAAAAAATATAAAAGATAAAACTAGGAGGGGCTTTAAAGATGACTCCATATTGTCCAGTTGAAGAGTAAAAAATTTCAAAAGTACCTAAGGCTCCTAGAGCTCAGATCATCAAACATATCCCATTGATTTCAGCTACATCATTCAATTGTGTGCGACAGTGAATAATGATTGAGGCAAGGAATGAGTAAGAATGACGCTACAGCCTGGTGGTGAGAGGACTCATCTAGGATGTGGAATACCTACGGTCGAGTCCCTGCTCCAATAACTCTTTATTTATACAGAGTGGAATAGCTTCAACAGGAGAGATTGAGACTATCCCATAGCCACGTGGCTAGGGCGCTTTCCCGCTATGTAGGAGACTCCTTTTCAAAACTCTTCTCCCCATCAAGCAAAGGGGAAAAACTGAACCCCCGTCTCCCACATCCCCTATAACCACTAGGTTAAAAAATAATAATGAGGCCAGTGGCACCATCACCACCACATTCTCTGGCCATTTTGTGCCCTTTAAAAATACCCAGAACAAAACCTTCAGGTCAAATTAAAAGTTTGACTGGAAACGGATTTTTTTTCAATGGGCCAACATTTTTCACCATTTTTGGTTTGTCTAGAACAGACTCTTTCATTGATTTATTTTTCAGAACTTCCAGCAAGCCAAAACCAGAAAAATTAGTGCAGAACTGAGGTCCCACCTCTAATCAAAGATTCCATAACACTTGGCCTAAGAATAGCAGTGTTAGCCATAGAGGGGGTCTTGGGTAGTTACACTCAATCTACACAGATTCCTCCTGAAAGTTCAGCTGGATGCTCTTGTTCATCACTTCCAGTCCAGAGATGTTATATCCAACGTAGCGCTGCAGTACCAATAGCTGCAGTATTTCACCCAGAACTGTCTGCATTTCAATGATAGGAGAAGCTACTCATGGATTATTTATATGCCTAAGAACGCAGTGATTAAGTTGTCCTATAACACAGAGTACTGCTGATTATCTAACATCCTGCTTCCAAAGTCTGTATTTTCTGCAGGGTGGCATTACAATGCCTTATCAACCCACATGATTATGTGAAGATATATGAAGGCAGAAGAGTCCTAACTTCTCTATAATTACCATTACAACCAAGTTTGTGAGAGGCCAGCATTGCTGAAGTGACACACTGCATTTCCCCCCCTTACCTTAATAGTAAAGAGATCAGATATCACAAACATGTGTTCTTGTTTGATGTCCAACACCCTAGAACAAACCAAGCATAAATTAAAGAGCAGGGCAAATCCTTGTCATTGTCAAATGCTTTCTGTAAGTGTTTGAGCAATAAACAAATTCATGCAGGTGTCGTCGGAGGAAAGAAGGGTGATATACTTCAAACCGTATTCATATGCTGAAATAAATATGGGGTCATAGCAGAGGCTGTTCACATCCCTAAAATGCTTTTAGTCCCATAGCTACTGGCCCTTCATGACATCTGCTGCACCACTGTCATCCTATTACCATTCCATTTAAATCAATGGATTGTTAGCACATATCTGGGAAATTTATAGCAGCAATCAAATGGATATGCGTAGTTGAACCAAAGTGCAACAGCTAGATGGGAGCAGCCAGGAACAGAGATAATACACTAAAATTAGACAGCATTGAAAGACCTTGTAGAAGTTTAACCCTGAAGAGTTTTTTCAATTGCATTCTCCATTGCATCTCCCAAGCACTCCCCCTTGGAGTCACTTGGCCTGCAAGTTTTGTTAGCACTTCACCAATAGATATGCCTCTGCTTTTAACAACTATGTATTTTATTTATAGGGTAAAGGGCCAAACTTAGCTTTTGTATGTGTGCACAGGACTTGCATTTACATCAGAAGGCAGGATTTGCCCTGTACTCTATACTGTTTCATGCTTCTGAGAAGCATTTAATATAGAGATTAAAATGACTAGGAGAGAGACTAGCACAATATGCCTTAGAAAGCAATTCAAATTTGTTTTAATAAAAGTAGAGGCCTCGCAATGACTAGAAGCAATGAAATTCTACATTTCAACATTGATGAGCCACCCAGAGCAGGAGAGTTGTAGACATATTGTGGAGGGCACATACCAATGTTCCGCCTGTGACAGGGAAAGGTTTTCGACAGAGGCTACAACAGCGCTATATACATAGATTCCCTGGGTTACTTTAGTCATTTGTGTAAACCACTGGATTACTCCCTTTGCCTTCAGCTGTCACTTATAAGCATGCAATAGTCTTTAAAAACACTGAGTCCATTGTGCTATTTTCTCAACAGTGTAATACTGGCTATAAATACAGGATTTTGAATTACCTCACTTCCTCCCGAGTCAGTATCTCCAGTAGCTTTGAAATATTTCCTGGGCAATCCGAGAGAAGGAGGGAAAATTTGCAGACTCTGTTGTCAAGGGTCAGGGCACGATCTATGCACTGTCTCATCAAAGGTAGCTCCAAGTTACCACTGCATATAGTGATTGCCACTCTGAAAGACAAGAGCAAACAGGACTATTTCCTTCTTGTTTATGCAAAGAAATTCCTATAGAATTGTCATACTAGAGAGTAATGCAGATATGGCTGCATTTCTTTGGCGTGAGAGACGCCATGTACACGCCTTCCAAAGTAGTGCGGGATGCTTCCAGATGAAAGGTATCATGTAAGTGTACATTCATTATATCCCTGCCCTGGAGGGGAGCTCGCTCAGTCTGGAGTTTTTCCACCAGTGACGTTCCACAGGCGCTCCTTTTCCTGCTCCTGTTTAAAGAATGGAGCCCATGCTCCACAGAGTATATGGGAGTAAAAATGTCTGTGCTGTGTCAATATTAGCACTTCCACTGTTACAAGCAGTTGAGCTGCACTGGTGTAAGACCAAGACAGCGAGAGGTGCTGAATATGCTCAGTGGGGATATATTTATTTCCATTTAATTTATATACAATTACACAGAGAAAGACCAAGTGACAAGAATATTATGAGCGTTGCAATGTCAAGCACTCAAAAGTTAGGAAGTGCCAGAATTAAGGTGTTTGTGCAATCTTAATTCAGCCCTTTTAGGTGTATGGATTATGCTACCATCTTTAATTACATGGCCACAGACTATCTTTTCTACAAGACCCCTGCCTCATTCAGTGCACAGGATGGACAGTGCTCACTCAGTAAGTAGCGATTCAATATTTTGTTTTCTCCTCATTCAATGTGCAGTCCCCAGGCCCTATTTACTGCACACTATTCAAACCCTTCTCTCAAGGCAGAATTACTAATTTCCTCATGGGAGTTTCTATGGTGCTCATCACTATGGTATCACACATCAAGCAGCAGCTCATAGTTAAATACCAATACCCACATTCATCTTGAAATCCTCTCACTGCTCTTCAAAGGTCATGGAGCTATAGTGTACCCTGAGCCTGAGCATCTATCAGTCCAGAGCTGGGAGGGCATTCCCAGAGCCCCCAGGACCCTTATGAGAACAAACTGTCGGCCACACCCCCTCTATTATATCAGTGCCTCTGTTGACCAGACCTGTAGCAGTGTGTCATAGGGAAAGAGGTGCTCTCTCAGGCTACCTCTACACTATGAGCTAAGGGTGTGATTTCCCTGCTCACATACACATCCTCACATTAGTTCTCATCGAGCTACCACGAGTATAAATAGCAGTGTGGCCACAGTAGCGTAGGTGGCTGCAGTGGATGCACGGCTGAGCTGGGCTGAGTACGTAATCACCCGTTTGAAGCAGGCTTGTACTAGGCATGGCTCAGCTGTGCCTCCGCTGCCATTACCCCTGCTATTGCACCTACACTGCTATTTATACCCATGCTAGCTCAATGAGAACTGGCACATGTACATCTACACGACCAGGGGAATCACACACCTACCCCATAGCATAGATGTAGCTTGTGAGGCTCGTCCGGGGCTAGTTAAGGCTTTAGAGGCCTTAATGTTGTTACAGTTTAGAGTTCTGTTTAGTAGAATACTGGGATGATGATTTGTACTGAAGTCGTGCCTAGGAGCCCCAGACACTGTCCAGGGCCTTGTTGTGCTTGGCACTGTTCAAAAAGAGAAGGCCTCTGCTCCAAAGAGCCCTTTGCAATCTAAGGAACAACAAAGAGCACAAGGTAACAATGAGACAATACTGGTACTCGTGATAGGCAGTGGTCTCAACACACCAGTTGCCTGACCATTGTCCAGTATTTTCTGTAGGCAATTGTGGGACTGAATATCCAGCCTCCCCAGATATCTGTGGGTACCATCAAAATACCAACCGATGTTGTCAAGTAAGATGAATCAATAACTATTAAGCGACCCCCATCTAGCAATCGCAAAGTAGTATTAAGCCCAGCTCAGTGGAACCGCCCCTCTGAGAATCACTGTGAGGGACTTTAGTAACAGTGAAAAAGCCCATTGAACGTTTGGGTGATGCGTTCAAGGTGCTATATAAACATTAAGTCTCATCACAATTCTGCAGACTGACCACAGAGAGGTTAAGAGCCAGATCCTCAATCATATTTAAGCGCCTATCTCTATTGAAATCTAAGTGATTTGTTTGAAGTCACACATTAGTCTATGGCACTGCTAAAGAAGCAGAACCCAGATCTCCTCACTCCCAATTCCAGGCTTCTTCTCTTTCACTACAGTCTCGCTCTGTTTGAGTTTATTGCACTTCATCTTTTCTAGGAGCTACTCCATAACTTAATTGTCAGTATAATTCTCTTGTTGAGCCTACAAAGTGACCAAATACATCAGTTTTGTCCAGAGGAGATCCCACACAATGAAAAAACAAAACTGAAATAACTGAAATAACCCACACACATTATGGGCTACGCCAAGAGCTTGGGCTCAGCTCTGCAAGGTGCTGAACATCCTGACCCGAATCCAAGGCGGCATTTATGCATATGCTCATTTTTAAACACATGCAGAATCCCACTGATTGACGTTGGGGCCAGAGTGCTCAGCATCTTGCAGGATTGAACCCTTTGGATCAATTTGTTTCGCTCCATTGATTGTTACGGACAGAGGTGAAAGTGGGCCGGGCCGGCCTACCGGTAAGAAATGGGCACTGGAATGGGCCCGTAGGCAGCTGACAGCGCTTTAATGTTGCTGCCCCTTTTGCCCCCTTCCCCTGGGCTGCAGGGGGGGGGGGGGCAAAAAGGGAGTTGCCCCAGGGCCCAGTGATTTAAAAGGGTCCAGGGCTCCCAGCTGCCACCATTGCAGCAGTGGCCAGAGCCCCGGGCCCTTTAAATCGCTGCTGGAGCCCTGGGTGGCACGGGCCCAGCCACGTTGAAGAGGCTGGCTGCGGGAGGCTGACCCCCAGCCCTGCCCTGTCCATCTGAGGCCCTGCCCCTTGTGGGGGCCCGGAGCCAGGCCCCTGTACTGGTAAGACTTTTAAGTTACTTTTGCTCCTGGTTACAGAGGATTTCAGCTGAAGGTCTGGCCCTCTTTCTCTCTCTATTTCAGCAAATTGTTCCTAGTGCAGCGTCCCACTGACAGTAGTGGGTGATTCAACATTCAGAATAAAGGAGAATAAGAGACCCCTTTATGTCTGAGAAGTAGAGTGCGCACACACTCTCTTTCATGTGACTTCCTTGGTAAGCTCTGTGTTTGCAATAGCTAGGTTATAGATGCTGTACCTTTTACTCTTTAACTCTGGCAGCTTCCCAGCAACTAAGGCTGCAAGTCCAATAGCCCCTTCTGCATCCACCGTGGCTCTCTCATACTCCAGCAACCGCAGCATGGAAATTAGAATGTCCTCTTCCCTGAAGACAAAAGGAACAGTATCAAAACTGAACAAATACAGAGTGAATTTAAAAGAATTAATGGGACGAGACAAGATATTTATGTATTAAGGGATTTCTTTGGCCCCCTGGTGGGTTTATTTAGGACTATAGCATTATGGGAAATTGTACTGCTGGGTGTGAAAATAGGTCTTGACTGCACGGTATTTTTTGCAAGAGTAGGGGCTTTAGCCTCAGCATCCAGGCTAAATATCCAGTGGGTTATGTACATCCCACCTACCTAAATTGCCCCTGCTGTTAGCCAGTGGAAAACAACTTATCCAAGTCAGTCCTGCACTGTTGTATAGTATTGGTGTATGCTACTAAAGGGCTGTTCCTACACCATGAAGGTGACCAAATTTAACTAATGGGTGAAGTCCTTACTCACATGTGGTAGCCCTTTTGTTACCCTGGGACCAAACATGTCATTAACGATTGTAAGATAGGGCTTGTTTATAGCATCTGATATTTGGATAAAAGGTACTATGCGTACGTGCGCATTTTGCCATTTTCCCACCAATATTCTCTTTATTGTGTTATTCTTAGTTATTCATGAATTTCATTAACACCTAAATCTTGGCCTTCAGATTGTTAATATTTGCAATTTATGCTATGTTGTTTATATACAAAAGTCACTTGGCATTGTTTCTGTTTGGGTGATTATATAACCCACACAGAATTGTGTATTTTACAGTGGAATATACAATTCAAAAGTCACCTGAGCTTCATGTTCAATTTTTGTCAATATTCACACTGCTAAAGTTGGAGGGCTTAAACGTTCATAGAAAATGAACATAAATGGTTCATCAACATGGCTGAATCTTGATTAGCTTAAACTTCCAGGAATAATTTTCCCCACTATTCATCCAGCTGTCACTAAGAGAACCTGCACTATCTCAAGCTAGATAATGCAAGCATAGTTGCCCTGAAAAAGGCATAGGGGTTGATCCTCAACTGGCCAGTTTACCCCAGTGATGGATCTGGCTTACATTTGTTCCATGGGTTGATCATATATTAGGGTAAATATCACTGCATCAGCTAAACATCAGCTACAAATTCCATACAGTCAGCCACAATGCCTGTTATCTGGAAGAGCCTCCCTTTATTCCCCTGCCTGTCTCTCCCCATTTTAACCTGGAAAAGCACTTCTCTCCTTTGCTTCTGTGTCTAGATACCTCTTTCCCATTTTAAAATATATAACTGCATAAATATTATTTATGACCCTGAAAGTACTTGGGATACAGTTGGTATGAAATACACTATATGAAATAAAGCTGAAGGCCATACAGTCAAATGAATGCCAAAGCAGATGGGAAGATAAATGCTACTTAACATAATGTATTATTGTCACTTAGTTGGAGGTTATCTCCCCATTTAAGAGCTATAGAAAAATCAATAGAAAAACTGTTCCTGACTTCAAAGAGTTCACTCAGGACCTCAGAGCTTGATCCTGCAGTCCCAAGCAGTTGAAACTTTAATTGAAAAATCGATAAACCATGGAATTCAATGGAAGTCAGGATTGATCAGGCCCTCAGGGAGGAGCTTACATAGCCCCTCTCTAATGTACAACAGTATTTCGAATTACAAATACCCATTCAAGTCAACATCATTCACTACATTGTTCTTCTTCACCTACCTCACGGTAACAACCTTGTCTACAAGCTTCCCAGTCAACTGCAAAGAATTGGTACCAAAGCAAGGTCCACTCACATCTGCAGATTTAAGCAACACGTTAAAAGTGAAGCTGGCTATTTAGTGATGTCCAAACATGCCTAGAGCCCTGCGCTCTTCCTTTTTTTTTTTTGTAAATAAAATAAACACAGCACATTGTCATTATGCAGTTTTTAAAATATATATATATTAATTACCTGTTATTTCTGTATCCAAATAAAAGTAGTTTGCCAACATAAGAGACCAAAGACTTTACACTCTAAGGCCCCAGTCCTGCAGTAAGAACCATACAGCTGCACCCCAGCGCCTGCAAAGTCCCATTGACTCCAATGACCCAGTGATTATGTGGTTCTCACTGTGCAACAGCACCTGAATTATATATTATAAATAAATATGAGGAGTTGAAAAGGACATCAAGTTTGTGAGCCATAGTGGCTAAGTGGGGTGGTCAACAAATGAGAGTATAGAGCGAGAGGGATTATTAACAATAAGAAGAAGTTTGGTTTTGGTATCTCTAGTTTAATTAAGTGGTGGAATATCCACAACTAGATATGAGAGCGTGCGTGAGCTGGGAGGGAGAGATTGTTAAGAAGGAAGTAGAGATTTTTCATGCTGACACAGCTGTATTTTCAGAGGTGTTGACCTCTAACTCTCATTGAGCTTAATGCAGGAGATGTTCTGAAAAAATAAGCTAAACAGGGGGTTTTGTTTGTTTTAATATGCAGGTTTCTCTGAAAATTAAATGACAAAACCCCAAAACTGGGAACCCCATTTCCAAATGCTGTGGCCTTGTTGTTTTATACATCTAAGTAAGTAATCACCATATCCTGCCACCCTTATGTTGATTAATGTAGGGTTACCATATTTTGTGCCTCCAAATGGAGGACACTCCATGGGGCCCCGCCCCAGCCCCGCCCCCGCCCCAACTCCGCCCCCTC